TCCTCGCGGATTTTCGCTTTAGCTTTTTAGCGCCAAGTTCTGAGAATTTTAATAACTGTTCGCATAATTTTGTTCTTCCTCTGTTGTGATTAGTTTTTACGTCTGAGGTCTATTTTTTCATAAATTGTATTCCCTTGTTTTTATTTTATTTTATTTTATTTTTATTCGTTGAATTCAATTTGTATTTGCATTTGTGCATTACTATATCATCTATTTTATTTTCACTTGCATTTATTATTTGAAACGCATTTTGCACAGATTCTTCGTTAAGCTAGATACCTGAACGTGACAATGGTTCTCACATTTAAAAAAACTTGTAATTTCGTTTTGTAATTTAAACAAACGTGTAATTTTACCTCACTTCTCTTATTTACATTTCAGCTCATTATAGTTTTATCTGCAGTTCATGTGTTTGGGCTTTTGTTCGCCGCCTTGTTCTTCGCTTCTCCGATATCTTTCTTAAAAAATGCGGTCAAATCTTACTTATGTAAGGTGCCCCTGGGGCTTTACAAAATAACAGAGTCAAACATATTGCGCTGTCGTAACGTTAACATTAGATGTATTCTTATTAAAATGTAGGTTCCTTTCACCGAAATAACATTCAGATAGTTACATGGTCAGATAGTTACATAGTCCATGCCTATCATGGAAGTTCATACATGACTAAATTTCATTTCTTATGTTTTCCTTGTAACCGCAATTTTCGGAAATCGGAATTCTTCGGAAATTAAATTACTCCAGTAATTTTCCCCTCTCGAGTTTCGGAGAATAAAATTAGATAAGAGGGAAAAAAAGCAAAATACGCCAGAAAATATGGTAAGTGTAATTCAATTAATGTTATATATTTATAATAACCCCTTCCATAATTGCTCTCACTTACATACTAAAGGATTAAGAAAAATAATGATGCAAATAATTAAGGCTATTATTAATTATGCATAATTATTCTAATGAGAAAAAAATGTATTATCTTCTGTTTTTCAGGAAATGATAAAATATTTAAACTTTAGAAAATGCAAGGAATACAAAGTTTTAAAAAAGAAGAAAAATGCATTAATTATAAGCATATTTTTCTGCATAAATCAATATGTAACACAAGGACATAATAACGATGTTTTCACAACTGTTGCAAAAAGGTCGAATCCTGCGAACATTTAGGCGTCGTTAAGACGTCGTGGTACGATACTTTCACAACCGAAATATAACCTAAGAAAGACGCAATAACGACGTCTGTGCTATAAAAACCTCATCTGCAAAGACGCAATAAAGACGTAATAAGACTGGACCAAAAGGCTCTTTCGTTATATCCATCCGTTTTCATAGGTTGTTGTTTCGTTATATCCGATTTTCACATGCTTGCAAGTTCGCCATAGCGGTATAACTTATAAAATAACTTTAAGTATATACAGACTTACAAAATGTTTCTTTTGGTAAAATAAATTTCATGAAGCTATTGTCGGTCCTGTGAGCATTCAGTCCATTATGATTCCATACTCACGTAACAATATGTTATAGCCCCAGCTTTTGGACCAGTCGGTCTTCGGCTCTCATTGCACATGATAGTAGCGATCTTCACCTTTAACCCTCTGGGCGGTCAGGGTTTTCGCTAAGAAAGCACAAATTTCCCAAAACTACCATGTTATTTTGATTGTAATGTAAAAACTCTACTGGTATTTCATACCTGGATTTTTTTTCTTTTGATATATTGCCTTGATTTCGTTGACATATTTTAATATGCACGTATATATACCTTCTTAACAGATATTAGAATAAATATTCTAGGCCGTATATATACGGCCTTGCCGCTTAGAGGAAATCGTATGACGAAGAATTTTTACGTAACTTGGTATGATTGAATCTTCGAAATTCAAAACTAAAGTATTATACTTTGAAAGAACCTTTTGAATACATAATCAGAAATCATATATTCATTTTAACATAAATTAGAGTTAATATTTTCAGTAACAATAATGAATATTTCTAAATAACCCCCACCAACGATGATAAGATTGCTGAATGCTGGTAAGTCCCGAATTCTAACCAGTTCGTCTGTGTTTGACTTGGGTTCGAACGCAAGCAAACTGGTTGTCAGCATATTTTGTTTTTCTGGTTTTTCTTTTTATGCAACGTCAATAGAAGCCAATCTTCCTTAGAGAATCCTCCACGGAGCTATCCCATTACTTAAGCTGATGGCCCTCGCTTGCTTTAGCATATTCAGATAATCTAATCTGACCTAACCCAATTACGTATAATATTCTTCAGATAAACAAGAGAAGTCATTAGGTTTAAAGGTATTTTCTCCATTCTTTCCGCATGCTTTGTAGTGTAACTAGAAACACATTCGAAGCGTATTCGGGAGAGTTCGACTCCCAGCGAGAACACTGCACATTTTTTAATGTCTCCATCAAAAACCCTAATGACTCTACAAGGTAAAATGATATACTTGGGTCGTTACTATACCAGATGAAGGTCTTTTGAAAGCTCGGAAATTTGGTGAAAGCTTGGAAAATCTATTCCCTGAAATGCTGTCTCAGTTCTAAGGGTTAGTTAAAATTTCGTAGCCATGCTTTTTTAGATGAAATTTCGTTATTATGTAGTTGTCCAGGTGTGAGAATGGTATGAGGTTATATGAGTGGTATGAGGCATTTTTGAGTTCCAGCTGTAAAATAATCGCTAGCTCGTATGTCTTTAAATTATTACCAGCATACCAAATAACAGATTAATATCATTTTAAGCTGACAAAAATGCGTTATCGAATACCTCCACTTTTTTTTTGGGCAAAGATTAAAAACCCTCAATCGGTCATCGCGCTAACCCAACAAACAATGAAAAATCAGTAGCTGTTTTTTATGGTGTACATTTTTATCTGCATTCCTTCCAACAATGGCCAATGAAATTCCTAGCCACAGCGGCCCCCACTTTAAAAGAACTGCATTCAGACAAAAAAACATATCATCATAGGGAGGGGGGGGGATATTTTTATTCCTTAGTTCCCCGATTCCTTTTAACATTCCTTTTAGAACTCTTGTCATCTGCTAACAAAAGCGTAGAAATACGGTTGGGACATCAGAAAGAAAGAGATATGTTGCCCCTATGAAACTTTGCTGCCGTCTTTCAGACGTCCAGGCAGCGTCTTACAGAGACTAAAGAGAAACACGTGACATTTCAGATCATTGAAACTACTATCATAAACTCGGAAAACACTTTTTTTTAACAGGGAGAAGAAATAATAATAAAAAAAGGTTGAGATAGGAATTAAAAGAAAATCCCCGCTGTTCCTGTTGCTGTACCCCTGAGCTTTTGTCTTTTTTTTTTTTACTTTTTTACAGTTTGGATGACATTTTTAACAATGCTGTCTCTAATCGTATTTTTATTACTGCAGAAAGAATGTGTATGAAATAGGCTTAAGAGCACGAACTATGCACGGAACATGGAATCAGTACTACGGCTTTTACGATGTACCGATATGCTTGGATTGGCAGAAGGTATGATGAGTATCAGTTTTATTATCTTTTTTTAGGGGGGGTATGAAATTAGCGAAATTGGTAAATCCATCCGTCTATTAAAAATAAATTAAAAGTTTTTGTAAAAATTTCTGCTATTGCAATTTGCAATAGAATTTCCGTTTTCCCTTTCTGTATGTCTACGAATTTTTTGCATGTGTACATATTTAGGACAATGTATCAGATTGCTTACCCTAAAACTGGCTTTCTCCAGAAAGCACTGTTATTTAACATTATAGATACAATTTATTTCTTCAAACGTTTTCTTGGAATTTCTCTGTAAGAATCTTGGAATTTCTTAAATATCTAAATATTGATCTGTTAAAACTTGTATTGTTGTTGCTCAGATTCCACGGATCGTCAAAGAAAGTAAGTTCAAACTTACCTTATAAGAAATTATCGCATTCCCTCGTGCGTGGTCTTAGGGTGTCAGTGATAACATATCTAACTAGCAGTTAGAACACTAGTGCTTCGACTCTACGCAAGTGCATAATAACAGGCTTTTCCTGTTTTCTGCTTCAATCAGCATAATTATTTCTAGCGTAGTACCCGAAGAGGCATGTGGTTGACGATGACTCATCCCTGCTTGGATGTTGTTCACGGAGACTAGTGCTTTTTCCTAATCGCTCTGTAAATTTTATTGTTGATACCAATCTCACTTGTCTGACAATGGTCAACACAATCCCATGGCATTCATCGAGTCGAATAGGGCTGTCGTTGGCAAGAGCCTTGAGTACCATATTGGTGACAGCCCGACTTTAGCTCAATTCCGCCCCCGGTTTCGAAAGAGAGCAACACCACCGAGGAGGCTTCCGACCTAAGGCGAAAACCGAACGCAATAATGTCACCCTGGAGGGAAAACTAAAAACTAACAGCCTCCACCGCTAAAGGGGACAGAGTCGACAGGTGAATGCACTTAATCAGTGGTCATTTGTTACACAGTTAGAGAAACTAAGACGTTTCACATACAATGCATCGAATAATTCCTTTTGGAAGTTAAAACTTAATTAAAAAAAGTTCATCAAAGTAAAAGGGTGGGTGAGGTTATCATTGATGATCACAATTATCTCTGAGGACCAATTTACAATCAGAACTGAATAGGATATAGCAAAACCAATACTAGTTAATATGATGCCAGTAAGTTCTAATCCAGAGTTTACAAGACACTACAATTCTTACAACTCCTCGCTACATGAGTCATTTTACTACGTTGCAATTCACTACAAGCGTTATTCGTTAACCGAAAGGGAACTGCAGAGGGACAAGTCCGAGGATTTCCATCCCTCTTCCTTTACTACCTCTTCCTTTACTAAATGATATAAATTTTGTGCATTATGAGTTATAATATGAACGAAATATAATACTGTTAAGTGAATCTAGCGCCAGAGTGTCGCTATGGTAAACAAATAGATTGAATTTTAAAGAATGCATTTATTCTATTGTGGTTTATGCGCTGTCGACGAAGTAGTTAATTCAATCCAATAAGTTTAAATAAAATGCAAGAAAAAATGCGTATAATTTAATATTCCGTACAAGGAAGTCATGTGGTGTACACATCAGATTTTTTTTTTTTTTAGTAGTATGCACATAGGCAAAGTAAAGACGACTTCTGGAAGGAGAATTACCTAAGGCTTGTTTTTGGAATGTCCCAGAATCTCCATATTGTTTTGCAATGAGGAAAAACCAAATTTCATCAAAAGTGAAAACCAATAGGATGAAATAGTTTCCGTTTGGCCAAAACCAGTCAACTCAGTTGCGGTTTTTAATTAATTTTTCATCTGCAAAACATAGGCTTATCGAGAAGTTGTCAATCTTCGTCAAAGTGAAGTTACAACTTCCTCTCAAAACGCTTCTGGCCTTGCAGTTTTCTTGCAACTTCAAAATTCATGATTGATTTTGAAATTTTTGTTAAAATTCTCGTATTCTTTATCCCAGTCCTGACAGTCAAGTATCTGGATAACTTACTGGAACGGCTGAAATAAAAATATCAGAAATTTTTGCATTAAAATTTTTAGAAAAATTCGCATTAAAATTAAAATTTTTAAATTTTAACAGTTTTAACAAAGGAATTAAACGATTTATTGAAATGGTTCAAAGTAAAACTGACAAAAACGTAAAAGTTCCGAATAATTTTTTTAGAATTATTGTAAAGTTTTACGTAGAATTAATCTAATACATTACCTACACGAGTATTAAACCAGCACAATTTCAATTTAATGATGTTTCGTTAGTTAATGCAAAGAACATGAGGGATGCCATTTCTATTTAGTAATTTTGATTAGCAAGTAGCATTTAATTTAGTCAATATTTTTTACAAACTTGACTTTAATTAATCAAAATTTTTGCTAAATTTATTCAACTAATGAATTCGATTTCTTTAAAGGCAACAGACTCGAATGAAAAGTGAAACAAAGCATCGTATTTCGTGACTAATAAGTCCTTTTGGGATAAATATGAATGACATATTATTCCTTACTTTTTTCAAGGTATGCCAGTGACCAATAGTGTCGATACAGGATGATATTTTAACGAAGCATCCACAATTCATTAAAACTTGTCAGCTTTTATAATAGTTTTTTCACTTCTTTCAGATTTCAAATTTAGATATTTCATTTGATATTTCTATGCCTTGGGTTCAAATAACATGACACGGCTTACAGGTGTTCTGAAATTACTGTTTAGATATATCGCAAAACCACTAGAATATCCCAGAAATTCTTTCAGTGTATCTTAAAAAGTCTAGGTGAATTCACGTAAAACTGATTTTTACGTGCATTCACCTATTAATTTGCGATTCTTTGTCTTTGTTCTTCTATCAGAATAAGCCGAAACAATAGCTTTTGATGTAAAACTGGCCATATTTATTCGGACATGTCGCTCGCACACTCCGCTCTTATTATGCTTTTCTTCTAAAATTCAGCAGATTATTTCGCTTTTATAAAGACTGGCAACTCTTCGTATGTTATAACCGAGTATTTTAATAAATGAAATTACAGAATGAGAGGAAAAAGCCTAAGTATTATGCTATATAGAATAATTACACTGTTTAAATACTAAGTAAACTACGCAGGTAATTACCGTGTATATAAACTGCTAATCTTTATATATATATATAAGCGGCTAAAGTGTGTGTCGCCGATAGTTTATTGTTGCCACTCTGAAAAATGAGCGCGGAAATTAACGTTTCCGCAGTTTTTAATTAATATCTCGGCCGATTAAGTCATACGATGATGAGAATGGTATCGATGGATTCGGAGAATTTTTTGGAATCCGAGGATACACGTCTCGAATTTCAACTCGGCGCCGTTTCCGTAGATATTCGAGAAAAAAGAATTTGGCACACAGCCAAATTCCTCTATTAGGGGAAACTCAACAAAGAAAGTGGAAGATGTAGGGAAAACGTATTGGAAAATTAGTTTTTAATTAATATCTCGGCTAATTAAAGTCTCAAGAAGACACGAATGGTCAAAATGGCGTGCCACGGACCTGCGGAATCCAATTGGGTGCTTCGCTAAGCCCGGAAGCCAGCCGTTTCGGAGGAGATGATTTTTCTTCACCCTATATATATATATATATATGTGGCTTAAGTGTCTGTTTGTCGCCGATAGTTTATTGGTTGTTTGCGTAACTGTACTAGCTAATGGGATGGTGTTGAAACGGCACAGGGTTGCCGTTTCAATAGAGACGTAGACAATTTCCTGTAAAAATAGCCTTTCCTAGGACCATCAATAAGTCTCAGGGCCAAACGCTTAAGCGTGTTGGCATTTTTTTACTTGAACCTGCATTTGGACACGGTCAACTTTATGTTGCCTGTTCAAGAGTTCGTGAAAGAAGGGACGTAAAATTAAAACTAATGGATGGTGCTCTGGAAGGTGAGCTTAAAAATGATGTGAAGATCTACACAAGAAATGTTGTGTCCAACGAGTTCTTTGACATGTGAATTAACATTTTATTATTTAAATCACCTTTATTGATTAAGCTAGCAGTGGCTCTTAAGAAATGTACCGCCAGTGGTTTCCTTCATTGCACTCTACTTTAAGCAATTAAGCAAGTAGAAGGGGGAAACCCCGTGGGGCAGTTAAGCAAAGGTTCGTCCTCGCCGCCTACCCTGGGTAATTCAGTTTGAATTAACAGACATTTTTGCACAAATCATTTTAATTACAATTTATAATATCTAGAACAGCGGTCATTTCGTATGACCGCCGGGCTTTCTAGTTATAAATAACAGCTATGTCGTATATTAAGCGATTTCTATTTACGCCTACATCAATTATACTTGTCACAGCATACCTGTAAACAGGCATTCAATAATGGGTCATCAATTTTTAGCCCAAAAGGGCTATTAATCTCGTAACTCGACTTTGGGTCGAATCACTCACTGCAAATGCGTCGTTTTACTTCTCATTTGAGTCTATTGCCCTTCGGCAAAATGTAAGATATTTATCTTTCACTCAGAATCTCTCTATTGTGGATTAACAAAATAAACTATTTGAAACTTCTTAGAAAAATAGTTCTTAAGAATGTTCGTTTCTTACTTTTGAATCGGATTGATTTAAATAATAAAAATGCATTAATTAATTAATGCTACCTAATTTAAAATAATCAATATTTTCATAGAATGACAATGGATATTTTTTACTATGTATTTCATATTTTCTAAAATGAAATTCCGTTAATGAATTTTTGATTAAGAAACTGAACGACTTGAAAACGAGCAGTTGCAACACTGTTATAAAGTATTTCTCCCGCCTTCTTAGCATGTTTTCGTCAGGACACTCGGCGCGTATTCGAGAAGTTCGTGGTTCGAATCCCGGCGAGGGCGTTGCGCATTTTTCATGTTTCCTGCTTCGAAATAACTAATGTCTCTACAGTGGCGCCCGAACTAAAAAGTGGTGATTCTTCGACACCAGGATTTGGCGATTGGGTCCCCTAAAACCCCAGTCGCCCTTTAAAAGGGGGGAGTATATGAAGTATTTCTCCCGCTTTAATAGCATGCCTTCGTAGTGTAGGGGGTCAACACGCTAGGCGCGTATTCGAGAGGTCCGTGGTTCGAGTCCCGGCGAAGCGCTGCGCATTTTTCATGTGTCCTGCTTTGAAAAAGCTAATGTCTCTACAACTGTATGGAATAAAACAATTTATCTCCAGCGCGCGAAACAATATACCGGAAACTGTAAAGATGTGCTGTTTTCAAATATTTTGTGATTTTGCTGTTGAATCGAATTTTATGTGCACATAAAATGGCGTAAGCTCCAAGAACGTGACATTTAATAAATAAAGTAAACACACAAGACATTAATTATAAAAAGACAACAAAAGTTTCGTAAAGCCATCTTAGTAAGAAAACTGGACATTGATATGACGAACTGAGAAAAGCCTTAAAAAAAAAAAAATAATAATAATAAAATAAAAATGTAAGCCAACACTTAACGTTGCATCGGGAGGAATTCTAAACATATGTTTCTATGTTGCTTTTAAGGGTTTTGTGATTTTGTTGCTCATCTATATGTGGCGTAAAGTGCGACGGTGCTTAATAATAAAGGTGGTGGTGTGGTGTATTTAATTATGACAAAGCACACTAGGGCTATCTGTCTAAGGGGGGAATGCCTTCGTGGAGGACTTTCTAAGGGAAACTGGCTCGTATACACGTTACACATGGGGAAAACCACGAAAACGCACATGCAGCCAGCCCGTTCGCGGGATTCGAACCTCGGACCGAACTACCAGTGTTCAGCGACTTTACCGCTCGGCCGCTGGTGGGCCTTTAATAATAAAGGTAAAATGACAGAAAAATTGGGTTAGCGGAAGTGAGTGCAATAGCGGATTGGTAGACTGCCAGCTTAGCGAAAGCGTAATAAACCGTAACAAACCTTTTTGGGCGACCGCTAAAATCTGAAATTTTTTAGATTTTTTTTTTTTCCCAGAATTTATATCGTAAAAAAGCATTGCATTCAAATTTTCAGCTGTTGACTTTAATTCAATTCAGAAGCAAATGAATTCGAATCGTAATAACGCCCTCATCTTTTCCACCTATACTTTTACTTTTTAAAACTGATTCTAGATTATAAGGCGTAGTACGGTGAGTGTAAATGTGGTGTAATTTTTAAAATATCATCTTTGCGACAAACATGTTCTCATAAAATAGAATTTAAGTCATGATTTTTTTGCTCAAAATGGTATACAACTCCATGACTTACACATTTAAGATTAATTATAATTCACACAAAATTACATTACAAGATTAGCATTTTCAGAGCACATCGAATAATGAAATTTGCAAATCGTATCGGAAAGATATTACGCTAAAAATCCTCGCAACGGGCATTCAGTTCGCTGGCAATACCAAAATAACGGCATTTTTGAAAACCTAGATTTGATTCCGCGAAATTTAGGCCCATGAGATTAAAAGGTATGGAATGCGAGAACAATCTAAGACTTAAAAGTTGAAAACATTTGTATTATGTTTCTATCCTCTCAAACAAATCGAAATAAAATTTCAGATATTGTTTATTTGAAGACATGCGCTCGAAATTGTAATGATTTAAAACAATAAAGCTGTCAGGTGAAAAAATGCGATGAAGAACAATGCCATTCATTCAGATTTACCTGCAGCAGGGAGACACTTCTGAGAATTCTTAGAAAATTCCGAGTCGGATACTGATATAAAGTTTGATTAATGAATAAAAAAAGGATTGCAGTAGACATCGCTTAATGTGATCGCGGTTAATGTTGTTGTCATTCAGATATTTTTATCAAATTGCCGAAGTCCCCATAACCCGCCTGTATAAGAAACACAGAAAATATTTCGCTTTAGTGTGATTAAAAATTCGGTTAATATCAAGAAGCTATTATAGAATAAATTTTTCTAAACTAAAGTTGCCAAATAAGATGTCGTTGTTGTAGTAGTCTTGTCCATGAATTTCATGGGAAAATGGTTGCCAGAGCTTCAAGAAGGTTGGACTACATTCAGCCCAGT